GCGTCCCGCCCCCCAAGTAGCTAGCAACCCAAAACAGTCCAGTGGAGCCTGAGCGGTGGGTGTTGCCTTCTGACACACTTCCGGTGATGTCAGGGGGTGTGGCATATGCAAATAAGTTATGCTAATGAGTTATGCTAATGAGCTCCTGCACCTCTTTTTCTACTAAATGACCCCTGCTCATCGCTCTCCTTGGCACCAATGCTCCCTCTATGCTGTGGAGTCTTGTGAGCAACAAATTCTACTTTGTGAGCGACCGGCATTCAAGTTGCGAGTGAGCCATTCGGCTACTGCGTCAATCAGTCTCGTCCGTAGCCCTCCTCCCCGAGCAGAGACAAAAATGTGCGAGCCGGAGGCTGAAAAACTGCGAGCTAGCTCACACTAACTCAGCTCAGAGGGAACACTGCTCTGCACCCGCTCCACTCTGTCCACATCCTTTCCGAAGCGAGGCCTCCAGAACTGCACACAAGACTCCGGGTGCGGCCTGGCCAACGCAGTGTACAGCGGGACTAGGACATCTTGCGATTTGGATGTGATGCCTCTCTTGATACACCTCAAGATCGCATTAGCCTTTTTTGCCGCTTGCAACCGTGGAGGAGAAGGATTCTGGATCTCTGCTGTCAGGGGTCATTTCGTAGAAAAAGAGGTGGAGGAGCTCATTAGCATAACTCATCAGCATAACTCATTTGCATATGCCACATCCCCTGACATCACCGGAAGTGTGTCAGAAGGCAACACCCACCCCTCAGGCTCCACTGGACTGTTTTGGATTGCTAGCTATTTGGGGGTGGGAGAACGTACAGATCTGTTCTCACAGAGGAGGGAGAGCTTGTACCTGAATAAAACTTGGTCTTAAAGGTGCCACTGGACTGTTTTGGACCGGGGGGGAGCTCTGCAATTTACCTGGCTGCTTCCTGCTCTGACTGAGGGCTGCTGGGAGCAGGGGGTGGGGCTTGTTGCACGTGCCCGCCCCCCTGGGCTCTTTACTGCCGGAGCTCCGCTCCTGTGCGCTCCTGCAGGAAATGACCCCCGTCTGCTGTGCTCTAGCAGGACCTCCTCTAGTTCCTGCAGAGAGGCCCTTGA